AGAGATAGGAAAGGAGAGAGAAAGAAAGGACTAGGTTGGGTGGGTTTGGGAGTTAACGAAAAAGTAAGGAGTGTAATGAAGGGTGTAACGGTGGAGGGTATGCGTAGTATTATCCTTTTATTTGACTAATTAATTAAATTAAAGGTAACATATAAACTTTTAGTTGTAAAAGAGTGTGTTAATTACATTTACACCTAATATACATGTTTTAGATACGCATTTTGATTTAATACATTATAAAATAATTTTTTTTAAAATTATTATTTTTATACTTAAAATTAAATGTAAATAAATTTAAAAATATAACTAAACATATAAAATATAAAAACTAATTGACTGAATTATATTTATATTATATTTTTTATAATTAAATTAAATAAATATTAAAAAATATATTAGACTAAATATATATCAATAAATTTCTTTAAAAAAAATTTTAAACAGTTACTTAGATCTTTATTTCACCAAAAGAAGAAACGAAGTTAGAAACTGTTGATCCCAAAATGAGCCTCCAACAGGTGGCCCCAGCAGCCTGCAAATTGAGGGCCCAACTGCAAGATGAGAGAAAGAAATATAAAACCAATCCACGTATAAAGCGCAAAACCCTGTTCCAACCTGCCGCTTCCAATAAAAGCAAAAATTTAAAATCATGTTGAGAAACCTTCTTTTAAAAATCATATTTTTCTAAATATTTTATCCACCAATCGATTTTCCTTAGCAGCTGTCTTTTTTGTTGGATAATTCTTTACAGCTTTACTAAAATGAAAAATTTGTTAGTAGAAAGACAAAGTCACTATCTGGCCTTATTCTCAATTTAAGTAACTTTTTTTTTGGTTGAATTTTAGTTAACTTAGCCTCTTTTCTTTTCTTTTCTTTTTTTTTTATCAACTAAAGTTAATTTTATTAATTTGAAGTATAAAGGGTGTTCATACCCATTTACATCAAATCTTACTGGTGCAAAATAATATAATGCAGCGTTGAAGGGGAAGAGGCTCAGTTAATTTAAGTTTAGTTAGAGATTGATAACAAGTAGTGGTTGTTGCTTTTTTGGTATTTTAACATCTTAAAATATATAAAATATATTTAATACATTTATTATTCATTTTAATTAATATTTTATATATTTCTATAATAGCAAAAAGGCATAAAAACTAAAAATTAAAATACAGGTTAGTATTTTCAAATAAAATCTTGGGTTTCATTTAGTATGATTGTGATTTTTGCGCTTTTAGTTTTGGTTTTCAACATTGAAACAATTAAAATTAATAATTAAAAATCAAAATTAAAAGTTAAAATTGCCAACTTATTAAGTATAAAATTTTAAAACAAAAACCCAAATTCTAAACTTAATTAATTTATAAAACTACTTAATTTTATTCTAGAGTTTTTAAATCTTTGAAACCCAAAATAAAAAACATAAAAGTACAACTATACTAAATAGTCTTAGACTTGGTTTAGCATAGTTTCGGTTTTTATGTTTATATATTTAGTAACTAATACTATATTTAAATTAAACTCAATATATTCAAATTTTTATGATAAAATTTGATTTCTAAATATAGTAATAGTTACTAATATATAAAAAATTACAAATTCAAAACTAAAATTATACTAAATGGAGAACTTAATTTTTGTTTAGAAACCGATTGATTATATACTCCAATTTAACACACTATAGAACACTTTTATTAAAAAATCATTGTTTTGGGTATGAAATTAAAGGCAAATAAACTTAAAAATGTAGCCATGGATATAAGATGTAAAAATCGATTAAATTAAACTGTACTTATATTATATTTTAATAATTAAATACGAAAAGTGTCAAAAAGTATGTTGAATCAAATGTGTATAAATTATTTTCTATTTTAATTTGAGGTATTTAAAATTAATGGTTCACTTTTCATTTTAAAGATGTTATTAAATATTTTTATTTCTACTTTACCTTCATTCTATAAAATAATTACAACATTTATTATAATATTGATAAATATAAAATTTTATTAATTAATTATTTGATCCTTCTTTTGTTATTGACAAAATAAGCCACCTAAAGTTGATGGATTATTTTTTAAAAAAAAAACTTTTGGGCATCATTAAAAGAAAAAATCATTAATATAATTGTCAAGAGTTATATGGTATACTAATTATAGGTTAGCACATTTATAATATTGATATATTTTTAATATATTAGTGGAAGTTAAGTGTTTGGCATTCAAGAATTTAGCATTTTGATCTTAACCCAAATTTAAATTTTAAATTAGTGTTTACCTTAACTTGACCAATAATATACACAATTACACATACCAATTCCTGCTATTAAAAATAAGTGGGAAATAGTGATGTTAAATAAATAAATGGGAAAAAGTCGTACCTTATTAATACATACACATGAAAGTTTTGAGTTGGTTAAAATATTATTTTGGTTCCTCAATTTTTAGATTTATATTGAAATTGTCCTTCAATTTTAAAAAATATCAAAATTATCCTTAAACTTTAATTTCCAATACTAAAAAAGTCATTATATTAATAGAAATATCACGTAACTCATTATTTTACCATAAAATCAGTTTTTTTAAATACTAATGACATGTAAAATCAAACAGTCATGTTTTGTCATCACGATATATTTCTGTTTATAAATCAAATTGATACATAATCAAAGTTGAAAGACTAAATTGATATTGTAATCAAAGTTTAAGGATTAAGTTGGTACTTATTTTCAAAATTTAAGGATTCAATTGGTATTATTTTTTAGGATTATTTTAATAATAAAATTAAAGTTTAAGGATAATTTTAGTACTTTTCAAAGTTGAGTGGTAATTTTGATATAAATTTAAAAATTGAGACTAAATTAATATTTTAACTGCTCTGAGGTTGTGACATATTACAGAATTAAAACTATTAGATTTAGAGAGCTGCCACATGTAATAGTAAGTTCTGAATTTGTAATTTTTTTTAAAGTTTTATTAATTCAATTATGTCACTTATCATATATATGCATACATATTACAAAATTAAAACTATTATATTGAGGGCGCTTGCCACATGTAATAGTAACTTAAGAGAGATGAGAGAGAGAGGTAGAGAGAGACAATGAGAGGGGTAGTAGGCAAACGCCGTTCACAGACTAGACGAACGACACTGAATAGAGAACATGGAAGATCTCGTGGAAGAAGCCAGCAGAAGAGGAATGATGGTTAGTACTAGACTCAGAAGATCTCGTGGAAGAAGCCAACAATGGGGCAATGGCAAAGGCAGTATGGTTAGTACCAAGCTTAGAAGATGCAAAAAGGTAGGTCTGACAACTGGGGCTTGTATAAACAAACAAGCCATTCCCTATTTCTTCACCAACTTTCTTGATGAATGGAACTATGTGGACATGTGGAAAACTTTTTTGAAAATATGGAAAGTTGTATGCCATTTACAGCCTAAATAAGAAAAGTAGAAACGAAGGCAAGTTTAGGCTTGTAAGATTTCTGGATGTTAAAGATAAGAGGGAGTTGGAAAGACAACTTGATTAGATCTAGATCAGGGACTGTAAATTATGGGTCAATATCCCTATATATGACGTTGAGAAGAATGAAAATGTGATAGGAAGAAAGAGTCATGTAGTGGAGCCACAATTTCAAAATAGAAGTTATGCTGAAGTGGTGAAAGGCCAAAAAGAGAAAGGAGTGGAGGAGATGAAAATACAACCCATTGCAAATCAAAACAAAAGACAAGAGAAGCATAGGAATAGGATTATGGTTGGGATACAACTTATAGAAAGCCAAAAAGTTTGGTAAGAGAAAGGAAAGGGTGAGAATAGGACTAGAATTGAGTACAATGTCAAACTAGAAGATTATGCATGGCTTGATGGTTGTTATGTGGGAATGGTACACTTTGTTAAGATGGTTTGAAATTTGCAAGAGGAATTCTGTATGGAAGGTTATTTCTCCTGCTAAATTCGTGCCATGGGAGGTAAACTTGTCTTGTTAGATTGTGATGACAACGAGGAACTAAAAGACCTGACGGAGCTTGCCTCGGGGTAATTAAGATAATGGTTTGTAGAGGTGAAGCCTTTGACACTATAAATGGTTGTTAAGAAGAGGTTTGTATGGATTAGATGTCCAAAGGCATCATTAAATGCTTAGGGGCCAGATTTCTTTGCAACATGAGTTATGCATGGGAAAATTCAATTGTTTAGACGATAAAACAAGTAAGAAAATGAGGTTCAATATTGCTAGATTTCTGATTTCCACTCTAATCATGAACATAATATCAGTAATGCGACAAGTTAAAGTTAATGGGGTCCTGTTCAATGTTAAGTTCACAAAAGAAGAGTTCACAAACAGTTTCTTTTCCTTGAAACAAGATTTCATGCCTACATTTTAGAGTGAATATAATGAATATGAATCATGGTCTATTGATAATGAGATGAAGGATCATCAGTTTGATGTGGCGAGGGTTGATGCTCATGTTGATAACTGACTTACAAATGCATGTGAAGAAGATGATGATGTGGCAAACTACATGAGAGGGGATAATGAAAGGTCTTAAATATGAGTCAACCATGAAGAAGAGAAGTTGGGTGATGTTGTGGCCAATAGTCTTGAACAAATAAAAAAAGTAACTGATGTTGAAAGCGGACTTGGGGTGGAGTTGGTGATGCAATCGCTTGGGGATTTTGAACCATTAGTAGGTTTCATGGAGAAAATGGGGATCAATTAGTCTTGGATACACAATGTACTATAAAGCCTCGTAGAGAGCCCAACACACAAGTTGATAGCTCAGCTTTTGAAGAGTTAACAAACTTGGGGTTGGCCTAGTTCAGGGAAATGATGAAAAAGCCAAATCTAGTTAGAAGGGAGGAATTCTCTAGAAGTAAGGGGACTAAAGGTGATACCATCATTGAGGTGATTACAAATTCATTTTGGAAGGGATTTGAAAGTAAAGAAGGGCAATTAGAAGAATGGATGGGTAGTCAAATAAGGAAGATGCTAAAGAAAAAGAAGAAGAGAATTCGATCTTGTAGTTTAGTGTATCTCAACACTAAAGTCATTAGAGAAGGATCACAAAGAAAGAAAAGACGAGGAAGGTAGAGTAGGAAATCAATGGAAGAGAAGCTATTGCTAGAATTTATACCGAACTTTATTGATAAAATTGCTTGTGATTTAATTGGGGATAATGGAATTCAAAATTACAACAAATCCTTAAGAAACTAATTGGAAAAACAACTAGCAAAGGATGTTTGGGAATTTGCTAAGCAAATAGGCATAGTGGCAGAGAATGAAGATGAGGTAATCCAGAGAATTAATGGATCGATGAAATGGAGAATAGAGATAGACAAGCAAAAGTAGTTATGGTGGATCAAGTTGCATTAAGTGGGAGAGGGTAAGTGAAACTTTTCAATGATATGTTATATTTTAATATTAGAGGACTTAGAGGGATTAGGAAAAGGAGGCAAATTAGGGAGATGGTTATGAAAAGAAGAAGAAGATGTTTTAGCAATCTAGGAGACCAAGATAGAGGCTTGTAATAGAAGAATGTGTAAATGGGTTTGGGGCTCAAACAATTTGGACTAGATATCAAAGGTATCAAATAAAATGTCTAAAAGGTTGCTATATGTATGGAATTCAAAAGTTTTTAAGAAGAAAGAGGTTATGGAGGGGGATAGCTATATTGGTGTGCTTGGGTTATAGGGTACTGAGGAAGTTCTAGTTTATATTTTGAACATTTACTCCCCATGCCAGTTATTAGACAAAAGAGTATCATGGAAGGAGTTTCAGTGTCTAATAATTAGCAAGAGAGTTAACAGATGTTTAGTAGGGGATTTTAATGTCATGAGAAGAGCAACTGAATGAGTAGGATGTAATAGGGTATCAATGAAAATAAGGAGTTTGATGGCTTTATTCGAGACATTGAATTGGTTGATCTTCCCTTAGTGGGTAAGAAATACACTCGGTACAACTTTAATGGCCAACATATGGGTAGGATTGATAGATTATTATTATCAGAGGAGTGGATTCTAAACTTGAGTGATGTAAAGCAATGGGTTGAGTCAATCAATATCAAATGATTGTCCTATCCTTCTGAAGAACTAGAGTTGTGATTGAGGCCTAAAATCTTTCAAGTTTTTTTATGCATGGCTTGATCAACCTGGGTGCAAGAAGGTGATTAGAAATGTGTGGAAAGCTACAGAGGTATAGGGTAAGAGTGGGTTTTGATTCAAGGAAAAATTGAAAAAAACCAAAAAAGCTTTAAAAGAGTGGAGTGGAAACTTGGTTTCAGATTTGGATAACAAAATAAAAGAAGCTGAAAAGGAGAGAGCTCTATTAGATTAAAAAGGAGAGAATGCCCAGTTATTTGTAATCAACATTAATAAGAGGAGATTTTGTTTTCTTGACCTTTAGAAGAACCTAAAAATTAAGGAAAGCATGTGGCAATAAAAGTTAAGAAGGATGTAGTTAAAAGAAGGGGATGTTAACACAAAATTCTTTTATAGATGTGTGAAGGGAAGATGAAGAAAGAATGAAATTAATAACATCTAGATAAATGGTGTACAACACATGGGACTGGCAGAAACCAAAGATAAGGTGGTGGCAGCAACCAAGACTTGATGGCTTTAGCTTCAAACAGTTATCCCAGGCAGAAAATGATCTCCTTTTAAGAATTTTCTTTCATGAAAAAAATCAAAGAAGCTGTTTGGGATTGTAATTCTTCAAAAGCACCTGGTCTGAATGGATTTAATTTTAGATTTATAAAGGTTATGTGGAAGGACATCAAACTAGATGTTGTTGGGTTCAGATAGGAGTTCCATAAGCATGGAAGGCTTGTAATGGGGTCTAATGCCTCTTCATAGTTCTCATTCTAAAAGTAGAAAACCTCCAAAAATTAATGAATATAGACCCATTTCACTTATTGAAGTTATGTATAAGATCATTGCAAAGCTACTAGCAAACCATCTACGAAATGTGCTAGTCAAGGTCATTGGGGAACAATAGATGGCATTCATAAGCAGCAAACAATTGGTGGATGGGTTTGTAGTTGCAAATAAGGCGATTGATGAGGCTAAAAGGAAGAAAAAGAAGAGTTTTCTTTTTAAAGTTGATTTCAAAAAAGTATATGACAAGGTGAATTGGAAATTTATGGATTGTATGTTGTTCAATATGGGTTATGTGGAAGGACATCAAACTAGATGGATTTAATTTTAGATTTATAAAGACTATATGGAAGGACATCAAACTAGAAGTTGTTGGGTTCATACAGGAGCTCCATAAGCATGGAAGGCTTGTAATGGGGTCTAATGCCTCTTTCATAGTTCTCATTCTAAAAGTAGAAAACCTTCAGAAAATTAATGAATATAGATCCATTTCGCTAATTAGAGTCATGTATAAGATCATTGCAAAGCTGCTAGCAAAGCATTTACAGAATATGCTAATTAAGGTCATTGGGGAACAACAGATGGCATTCATAGGGGCAAACAATTGGTGGATGGGGTTGTAGTTGTAAATAAGGTGATTGATGAGGCTAAAGGAAGAAGACTAAGAGTTTTATTTTTAAAGTTTATTTCAAAAAAGTACATGACAAGGTGAATTGGGAATTTATAGATTATATGTTGTTCAATATGGGCTTTAGTGTAACATGGAGAAAATGAATTCAAGAGTGCTTATGATCAAGCTTGATTTCTGTCTTGATCAATGGGAATCCAACAAAATAATTCTCTGTTAGTAAGGGCTTGCGACGAGGTGACCCATTATCCCCTTTTTTTATTCTTAATTGTGGTAGAAAGGCTAAATGGGCTAATGTCCTCTGTAGTTGAAAAAGGGTGATATAAGGGAGTGATGGTTGGTAATGGAGATGTAGAGGTATCTTACTTACAATTTGTGGATGACACAATTTTTTTTGGTGAGGCATTTTAAGACAACATTTGGGTGGTAAAGTGTATTATAAGAACTTTTAAGTTAGTTTCAAGATTAAAAATTAATTTTAGGAAGAGTCAGTTAATGGGTGTTAGAGTAGAATAAGGTTGGAGAGCTAAAATGGCTTACATGTTATGCTGTAAAGAGGGTGATTTTCCATTTAAATATCTAGGGATTCTTATTGGTGGGAATCATAGAAGGTTAGCAATGTGGTAACCAATGGTGGAATCCTTTAAAAAGAAGTTAGCTAGTTGGAAAGGTCAACGTCTTTCTTTCGGTGGTTGTATCATGCTCATCAATTCAGTGTTGTCTAGTTTGCCCATGTTCTTGATGTTAGTCTACTTAATTCCAAAAGGTATACTCAATTTTATTGCTAAAATCCATAAGAGTTTCTTATGGGGTGGGGTGGATGAGGGGAAAAAAATTAATTGGGTAAGTTGAGAGAAGGTTTGTAAGGATAAAGAGAATGACGGGCTAGGAGTGAAGGAATTGAGGAGGTTTAATCTGGCTTTGTTGGGTAAATGGTGGGGGAGATTAGCATCAAATAAAGAAGGATTGTGGGGGAAACTTATTGTAGGAAAATATGGTGGGGGAAGTGGTCATTAGCTTAATTGGGTGAGAGAGGGTAGTGGTGTAGATTCATTGTGGTGGATAGATGTGTGCCGTCTTAATATGATGGAAAGGGAGAGTGTAGGGTGGTTGGCGAAGGGATTTAAAATAAAGATAAGGGAAGGAAAAAAATGTGAGTTTTGCTGAGATAATTGGTGTGGGGACGGTTGTCTTGCTCACAAATTTTCTAAATTATTTCTTTTATCTATAGCAAAAGAGAAAGAATGCTACCAAATAGGTAACGATGACAATGGAACATGGAAGTGGAACCTCATGTGGAGAAGAACCTTGTTCGATTGGGAAAAAGATGCAACCGTTGAACTTCTTATTATGTTAAAGGAGGTGAAGATTTCTCCTCACTACCCAGACATATGGGAGTGGATTCACAGCAAAGATGAACATTACTCAACTAAATTAGCTTATTTGTTGTTGTCAAAGGATTTGAGTGGATCAATCAAAGCTACAACCTTCAAGAGAGTATGGAATCCTACTCTTTTGAGCAAAATATCTGCATTTAATTGGCAATTATTATTAGATGGACTATCAACCAAGTTTAACTTGTTAAAAATAGGGGTTGCTAAAGATATGGGAGAAGGTATGCATGTGTTGTGCGATAGACTTGGCAATTTTTTACCCAATCCGTCCATTACCTGCCCGTTTAAAAGGGGTTAGGGTCATATATTCATGACCCGCAACCCGTTAAGAGAACCCGAGAGGTCACGAGTCAATAACGGGTTAACCCATTTACCTGTCTAAAAATTTAAAATTTTTTAGTTTATCATTTATTTATTTTATTTTTCAATTCCCAATTTTTTAAACTAATTTTCTCTAATTAGCTAATTAATTCTCTTAACTCATCATCTTCTAGAAGTAAAAATAATCCCACTCCACTTATGACTCACCTCCCGACCTTTCCTATTCTTGCTTGCCCTAATACTCTCTAAGACTCTAACTCTTCAAAGTTCAAACTCTTCTCGTATTCTTCAACCTTCATAGTCCATACAGCCTTCGACTTTCAAGCTTCAACTCCACATTTTCTCTTTAGTCTTTAACATTATCTCAGACTTAGATTTTAGCCTCACCAAGTCACCATTGCGTCCACTTAGCCCTTTCTTTCTTTCTCCTTCGAGTTTGACAAGTGCTTTCTTTGTCACCAACTTTTCTCTCTAAAGCCTTTAAGGTAAGTTGTTTACTTATTTATAATTTTCTCTTCATTCCAAGTAAAAATTCTACTTGATCTTGTCCTTTGCTTAGATGCATTCAATTGATTGATTCTTTGAAAGTAATGACTAGAACAATTATGTTCCAATGGGGTTTGTGTTTTTTTGGTTGTCATACTACTACTGTTTTTTTTGTTTTTTTTCGCTATTGAGATTTATAAGTGTGTGGTGTTCTTGAATTTGATTAACGTTGTTTTTTGAAGGGAAGTGAAAAAGATGATTCTATAGAACTATAAATATGTATACATTAAATTAATGGGAAAAAAATCTTTTTATAAGATGTTGAATTTCTTTTTAAAATCTTTTGAATAATTTTCTTTAAATGATAATAGATACAAATTATAGAGAAAAAAAAAAAGAAAAAAAATTTAATTGGGTCAACCCATGTGATGGGTGAGTTAGGGTTCGCCTTCATTGACTCGTGACTCGTTTTAACCAATCCGTTACCCGTTCTAACTCGACCTTAACCTGACCCAACCCGCCTGTTTGCCAGGTCTACTATGCAATGAAGAGGTTGAGAATGCTAATCATTTAATCATAAAATGCAAAAGTGTCATGTGGTTATGGGATGCATGTGCTAAATGGTGGGGGGATCAATGTTTCATTGGAAAGTGACTGTTGGAAAACCTTTGAGTATTTTGGGGCATGGACCAAAGAACCATGCATCAGAGAAGGTTGGGATTGCATTTGGAGCATAGTGGTTTGGTTTGTCTGGATTGCACAAAATTAGAAAATTTTCCATGGTTCAAAGGTAAATATGGGGAAATTGCTTGAATTTATTCAATTGAGATCATTCTTATGGATTAGAGGAAGGAAAGCGAGGTGCTATTTCAACCTCTCGAATTGGTTATTAAATCCTATTGTATGTTTTAGATTTAATTGTGGTGGATAAAAAGGGTAGTGAAGGAATGGTTCTAAATGATGGGATATTTTTATGGATGGTTTCCTATGTTTTGTAAATTGAGTTAGAGTAACCCTTGTATTTAATATATAAATAAAAGTGTGCATTTGCTATTAAAAAAAAAATGTAATAGTAAGTTTTGAATTTGCAAAACTTTTTTTTTTAACTTGATTACATATAGCTCTTTTTTAACTTTTATCATATTCCACTCACATGTTATATAACTCAAATTCAGCACATGTTACTTTCAGTTTAAAAAGATTACCATTAATCTATTTAAATAGTTAATATTTGCAAAACTTTTTTAAAGTTTTATTAACTTTAGTTATATCATTTACCATATATACACATCTTCCATTTCATTTTAGTACCTTATATTATTGTTATTATTTATATATAAGTAGTTAGTTGTTTGGTATTATTACAAGTGTTGAGGATGGGAAAAATTATAACATTTTGGCGTTAAAAATGTTAAAATGTCTAATTAAATGTACATAGTAAGTGAAGTATAATATAGATTTTATTCAAATCTTATTTATTATATGATTGAGACTGAAATTTTATTTTTTTTAATATTATAATGTCTTAATTTTTATTTTTTTAATTTTAAATTAATATTTTTAATTAGTACTGATTTAGTTAAATTCTTATACGTTTTATTTTTTTATTAGTTAATAATAATGCTTCCATCATTTTTCTTTTGCCTTTTTTTTTTCCGGGAACGAAGAAGTGAAAATTTTCTTCTGAAATTTCTACTTGATAACAAGAGCGAATAATTGTTTTTTTTTTATTGATTTTTTGAATTAAATCTTGATTAATAATGTGGGAACCAAACTTTCTTATCAATTAAAAGAGGTTTAAATTAATTAATTTGATACAACTCAATATTTAACAACTTATAATCTTTATTATTTATCATTTAAAATATGTAAACCATTTAATTAATGCAGATAACTGTTCTCTATACTGAAACAAACTTCGTAAGTTAAATATGGTCTTAGCCGATCCATTCAAGGCGAGCCTCTGACACGGTCGCCTCTTCCCATTGGTCGATGTAGTGCAACGTGATGCGTTGTCAAGACACCATTGGCCCGTTGGGCACGTCTTGTCCGATGATGTCGACATGTAATACTATTTATTATTATTATTATTATTTTTGGTGTTTACTGTCCATTTTCTTTATTCGTTAGTATTTTTCTGTTCTGCTCTTATTTTTTTCTCAGTATTACGAAAACAAGTTGAGGTGATGAGTTACAGAGCTTTTAACTGGTTATGGATAATTTTTCCTTTCTTTTTGTGTGGAAAGAATCGAAAGACAAACGGAGGATATAAGAAAATGAGGGTTTTTGTGGTTTGAGTATAAAGAGAGTGCTATATCAAAATTCAATAGATCCTCTGCATTTTTGCTCATCTTTCTAGGGTCTCTGAACATCTCCCTTCTTTGATTCCTTCCTTTTTTCCCAAGAATTTTCTAGGGTGGTTGCTGTTTGGTTTCCCATCAGATTTAGGATTTTTTTTTTTTTTTTATATATTTTTGTTCATCCTCCTTCCTTTGCACCTGGAAAGATGAAACTTTTCTCTGGGATTATAGGCTGCTATTATTGATTTCTTCTAAATTTAATTTCTTTGCACAAAGGCTGATAACTTGTTTTCTTTCCCAGAAAATTTAGGCAATTATCTTTTTGGATTTTCCTTCTTTTTCTCTTTCTCTTGAGATTTTAAAACCTTCATCATGGGCTGCCCTTATTAATATCTTCAAATTTTGTAATTTTTCTTTGCAAAGGTTGAAACTTTAGCGATGACTACACACTGCGTAGCTACTCAATATATATCTGGGGACTTTGCTCAATTTTAGTGAGTATTTGGGCCATTTTTTCAAAAAAATAAAGTAAAAAAATTGATTCTCCGGTGAAGTTGCCGATTAACGTGGCTCTAATGATGAAGTAAGAAGATGGTGAGAGGAAAAATTGTGATGAAAAAGATCGCGAATGCAGCAAACAGACTAGTGATCTTCTCCAAGCGTCGCCTGTTCCCTGTGATGTTGATGTTGTAGTTATCATCCTCTCACAAAAAGGAAGACTTTATGAGTTCTCAAGCTCCGTGTATGTTCTTTTTAATTATACTAAACAAAGTTCTTCAATTGATTATTTCTTTTTACTATAAATGTCATTCATTTAACAGATTTTGCAAGTTTAGTCCATAAATTTTACAGATATGCTTATCCTGTGGATCTGTACTTTCTCAGTTCCATTAGGAAATCTTATATTTGCATTGATTTTTTTTTCCCTATTTGTCTTTGAGTTCATTTCTTTGGATGAAATATTTCAAGAATGACTCTCATGATATAATTTGCTGCAGGAACAAATCCATTTGGGTGCATTTTGCCTTTCTCAAACTTGTCTATTAGGGTTTTCAAAAGCTTTGCTACTAGGAACTAGAAACTGTAGTTCTAGTTTTTAGCCTGCCACCATTTCAATTTACATATTAATTATTAGATATTAAATCTTAGGCTTGTTTTGTCCTTTTCAGAAGGGCATTGATATAGCATTGATATATATACTTTCTAGTCTAATACATTCTAGAATATTTTTATTAAAAAGTTATTATTATTTAGTCTAGAATTAAGGGTGGAACAACTTAAATATGTAGTTATGCATATAGCTATGCATTGAGAGAACCAGTTGAGCTAGCTGCACCTATATTATATTTTAATGCTTGAATTGGTTGGGTGTTGACGTCTATGTCCAACCAAAGAGTGTCTGAATCATTAGTACACCCTTCAGTTTGACACACTCACTAATACCTACTAGTTCAATTATTAAATTCTACAATTTTAGGTTTTTTCGTCTTTAATTCCAATGTGGAAAATAATAATTTTTTAAGGATTATGTTGTAGAGTATATTGAATCAGAAGGTATTTGTATCAACATCCTTTCTTTTTATATATTTAGTGTATGATATCACATCATTCACATGTGTTTTAGGAATTGTGTTAAACCCTTTGATCTTTATTATAAAAGTTTGAGATTGCATAAAGTAGTTATGAAATCATTAATTTCTGGTAGGATATATCCTATAGACGTGAATCTATGAATTTCATTGGTGCATAACTAATGAAAATAAATGTTGCCTCTGTGTTTGAAGGAATCTGTGAATGTTTGTCTTTATAAGGCATAGAAATCTTCCTTACTTTCCTTACTTTCTTAGCTGCATGCTCTTGGACTTATTAGATTTTTCATTCTTTATAGTCAATTTGTCATCGCTAACCATTTGCTTTTCAATTGTTAGTGTACATATTTATATTTTTCTCTTTTCTATTATATATTTATGAGTTGGAATTCAATTACATACACAACTTTTACAAAATAAACACTCATCTTTCCATTATGTATAGTTGTG